AGGGCCCGGGGAGCCCCGTTTGCAGGCCCCCAGCTTGCTGCAGCGCTGGTACGGGGAGTCCCGTGGGGAGCTCCCTGCCTGGCCGGTGGGTTTAACACCCCCGTGCCCCGGGGGTGCCGGCACTGCCTCGCCATGAGAGCCCACGGCAGGCAGGGCTGTGGGCGAGATGCCCTGGACGAAGGGATTTCCCTGGTACCTTGCTGCGTGTACCCCTCAGCCAGGCGTAGTAACCCCCGGGCTGTTTTCTGTGCCCAAAATTTCTTGCGCTTTGCTCTTCTCATCTCTGCTCTGGCCAAAATGTTGCGTGTAACCTTGTGGGGAGGGCCCGTCGCCCGTGTCTGGTCCCTGCAGGCTCCAGCCACCTTGAGACCATATCCAAATGTGGCTCCCAGAGGGGGTTACGCCAACCCACGGGCCGCGGGGTGTGAGGTGGCTGTCAGCCGTGGGGTCTGGCAGGAGCAGGGGGTCGTCGTGCGGCTGTAACACCTGGGGGGGGTTTATCTGGTCGGCGTGGGGAGACGCCAGAGCCCGGCGTGGCTGGAGCGCGGCCGCACGCGGGGGAAGAGCAGCGTCCCCTCGCTGCGGCAGGGTAGGCTTGCTGCAAAGGCTGGCCTGGCAGGGAGCGGGGCCAAAGGGTTTATAACTTTGTGGCGTTTAAGAGACGACTCCCTCTGGTTTAATACGTTCTTCTGTAGCTCTGTCCTTGACGTGAAGCTTGTCCCTCCTCCAGCTCCCAGCACGGCCAGCAAAGCTCTGAGTAAACTCAAGCAGCTTTGAAACCTCCTGGGCAAACACCCTTTCGTTGGTCTTTGATGCACAGAAAACTGTATGAAAGCAGAGTTTTGACAATGAAAGCGTACATATGGTTATTTGTAATAATTTTTTTTTTTATATGGGGTCTGCAAACAAAATCCCCCCAACCATGTGCAGCCAATTCTGGTGCATGTAGAAATCTCCGGCAGCTATCGAGTCCAAGGCTGCTGCTGCTGTAGAGCAGTTTGGGAATCTGCCCCTGTGGTTGGTAGGACAAGCAAAAAAATTGCTGCTGTTAGTGAGAAGATGCTTTTAGATCTCCTGCTTGGCTCTAGCGGCATTACTGCTCCAAGTGACCCGGTGTGTGGTTTGTGAAGTGCAGTACAAGGAGGTGCAGGTCGTGTGTTCCCTTCACTCACCTGATTTTTCTCCTCTTCCTGCAGGAGGAGGATTGCTGGATGAAGGCCGACCCCAGGACTTTGAGCCAGATGTCAGAGAAAAGTTGGATTTCTTTGTGAGCAGCTCACGCAGCATCCGCAAGTGCCCTTCCCTTTTGTGGCTCCTGGAGGTGCTGAGATCCTTGTTCAGACATGGCATTTAGAAGGACAGAGGGAATGTCCATCATCCAGGCCTTGGCAATGACCGTGGCAGAGATCCCCGTGTTCGTTTACACGACGTTCGGGCAGGTACAACAAGCAGGAAAAGCTTTTCTGTCGGGTTCCTTGGGTTTTCTCTTTGGGGGTTGTCTGTAGAGAGAGAAGAGTCTGTGTTAGTTTTGAGGGACAGAGGCATGACGGGGTGATGCTGGGGGATCTGGGCAGTTTGAGGGTTTGTAAGAATCGCATGGAGAGTTTGGGGTGGTGGGAGGAAGCTGCTCAGGGTGGGCTTGGCGTAGGGAGAGGGGAGAGAAGGGCTTCCCACATCCCTTCCCAGGAGAATGCACAGGCTCAACCTTTCTTTTCTTCAAAGGCACTAAAAAAAGACTTTTGTTTTAAAGATGATTAATACATTTCCCACTTGCAGTAATGCAACACTTGGGGTAATAAAGCTCAGCTACATACCTGGGTTTAAGAATTGAATTTGGGTAACCTGGATTGCATCTGTTATGGGCCGTGTGCAGATTTTTGCAGGGTGTTTTGGCAATGAGAATTGAGACCAAGTTCTCCAGATTCTGTCAAAATGATGCTCTGCAGTTTCTCTGCTGCTAAGTCTTAGTTGTGTAGCAGGGGCTGTGTTTTGTGGGTGGGAGGGGGAATGCCAAGGTGTCTTATGTTTAAGACTGCTTATGAAAAAAACAAAAAGAGGGTGGTGGAATTGTTTTTTCATTGTTGCTCTTTCATATCTTTTGTGTTTAAAGTCTGTCTTCTCTCAGCTGCGGCTCTCTCCAGGCCTGCGTAAGGTGCTGTTTGCTACAGCTCTCGGGACAGTTGCGTTGGCTCTTACAGCTCATCAGCTGAAGCGTCGTCGTCGTCGAAAGAAGCAGATCGCTCCGGAGAAGTGCGGCTTTAAGCCTGGAGGGATCACCGTGCCCATCTTGCCAACCAGAAGGGTCTCCTCCGTGAAGAAAGGTTGGCCTTGCAAAAAGGGAAAATCCCCAAAAGCTTTTCCTGAGGGAGCAAAGAGGGTGTACAGGGAGCGATGGGAAGTTCCTGACAGCTGAGGGGAGAGGAAAGCAAAGCCATTTGTATAGTGCATCGATGCAGAATGAAGTTAGAAGCCTGAAGCACAGTGCCACGAACACAGGGTTAGCAGAGGAAAGGGAGAGACCCTGAGCTTAAAGCCCTTGCGAGAAAAAAGTGACACCGAGGTTTTCACCAAGGTTTGCAGTTCCCATCCCCCTCCTACAGAAAGACTGTGGACCCGTTGCGCCATGCTTCCCCCGATAATAACGGCCTGGGGCACACGGTGACCTGGTTGCGTATTGATCTCGGTGATGCCAATATGACGCCTGACCCAGGGGTCCCGTGCGCAGCCGCGTTGGTGAGGTTGGGTGGTGGAGAGGAGGGTGGCCTGGGCCAGGCTGGGGAGTCAGAAGTGTCTGCCCAGCTCTGCGGTGGCTCCCGGACTGTGGGCACCTTCTTCACCTGCTTGTATTGATTTTTGGGGTAAGACTGACCGACGTCCTTAGCAAAGCACTTTAGGGATTAAGCATTTGTGTTGTGAAACATATGAAAATCTTTAAGCATGTTTAATAATAACCAAGGGAGCGATGTCCATGCCCTGCCTGGCCTGAGGGAAGCTGGAGGAGTTCTTCCTTGATGCTTTCCACTTGTGCTTGCCTCCTGCCATCCATAAGCGGTGAATAAATACTCATTCCTCAGCCTCAGATCCCCACTGATACCACCTCTCCTAGTGTCTGAGAGCAAAACAGAGCATACAGGAGACCCGTGACTCATTTCTAGGTATTGGATGCTGCTTTGCCCATCCGCAGTCACACCTGACAGGGCCATGTTCCCCTCCCTATTCACAGCTGCAGTGAACCTGGCCTAAAATCCTGTTTTTGTTTGACCTTCCCAACTGCAGGATACTCCAGCAAGAGAGTCCAGAGTCCTGGTAGCAAGAGCAATGACACGCTCAGTGGGATTTCCTCCATCGAGCCCAGCAAACATTCCAGTTCCTCCCACAGCCTCGCCTCGGTAAGGACCTTCTTGGCTGGGCTGGGAGAATCAGCGCTGGGAGATAGGAGTGCACCTACCTGTAACAAGATCACCGAGTCCTTGGGCTTGCACTGGCTGATGGATAAAGCCAAACCTTTGAGCAGAACAGGTTACAGTGTAATTGTAGGGTGTGTTCCGATATTAACTTCACAGTGACTGGAGTTGCCTGCATGAAATCAGAGCAGCATTTTCCCGTGGCCAAGAGCCCCAGGGTACATCCCACTTCTTTGGCCAACGAGGGGCTGCAGGAGGGACTTGCGTGTGGGACATGGCCATGATTCCTCGGGGCTGTCTGTGACCCCCTCAAGAAGGAGGCTGGGTTGTTGCTGGGTCTCACAGCAACTGGGAGCTTGTTTGCTTCCCTCCGTGGTGGGGCTTTGGGTGGCCCCGCAGCCCCTGTGCCAGTACAGCCCTCCTTTGCTGGGGCTGCTCACAGGTTGCTTGGTTGTTAAAACCAAGTTAACTACCAAAATCTGATAGCTCTGTTCGGGAAGCAGTGCAGGTTGAGAACACAGCCTAGTCATTCTACCTCCTCCAAAGCCAAAAGCAGCCTATAAATACAGGTAATTCAGGCTTAACCAGGCAGGAGAAGCCATCACTGCTTATATCCACCTCTTGTGAGACCAAGCGCAGAAGCTCTGGGGAGCATTTGTGGCTTTAAGACCTGTTTTACATCCCCACTGCTCAAAGCCTCGTGTAGTGCTGTTGGAGCAGTGGGCGGCACAAGCGAACCTCTGCAGGTTCGTGTACTGTGACTTACTGCAAAACACCCCCTTGGCATCACCCGCCTGGGCTCGGCGGCTGGTTAGCAATGCTGGGACAAGAAGAGGGAAAAATCACCCCTTCGAAGGGAGCTGTCGGCCACCAACACCCTACAGTATGTGCAGGCATTGCTGTATTTTAGCTTGTCCTGTACGGTTAAAGCACCAGAAAGTTGCCAGAAATCTGTGCTGGCCAAAGTGTGTCTCCAGCAGGCGGCAGTGCCGGCACGGCGCTGGGCGTGCAGCCCTGCACCAGTATTCCCCTGGGGTTACTGGGATACGATGGGATGTGTCAGTGAGGACCAAGTGGTGTCCAGCTCTGGCCTCCCTCCCCCTGCAGGGACTCTCACGTCCATTTAATTCCCCCGCGGCTTCTCCCTTCCCACAGATGCTGTCTGGGTTTTGTATCGCTGAAGTCTGTTTCTCTTTAGATAAAAAATTATCTAAATTCCTTTTTCTGCTGCTGGTGCATGGGTGGGGATATCCACACGGAGAGACATCTGTTCCCGTACCCCCTTCATTGTGTGGGAGCTGAGCGTCTGTGACACCGTACTCACTGCTTTCATGTTACTTGATGGGAAAACAGCTCATCCTTCGCACAGCTGCAGTTTCTGCCTGCTCTCTCGTCTGCTTCCTGGGGCTCTTTGCCATCTAGTAAATAAGTCAGCAGCAGTGAACTGATGATTTGCAGTTCTGGATCTCAAGGTGATTTATTAACAACTCCACAGAGATTAATCAATGGAGGCAGGGCAAGAATTCATCTGTCAGATGATTATTGTAGCTTTTTTCTAGTATCAGGCTCACATTTGGACATCTTTCTCTAAGCCATATGAAAACACTGGTCATTGCTAGTGTTTGAACCCAGCGCTTTATTGGGTCAGACTTTAAAAGACGTTTACGCGCTAGTGTGAAGTTGGAGAAAGCTGACAATTTGCCGTGTGGATCTTGGTGCCCAGCCCTCCTAGGAGAAGGTTTGGTTACAAAGAGAAGAGCGAGGATCCCCCTGGCCAAAGTCCTCAGCTGTATTTTTGCTGGTAATCTGTTCCTTTGTTTGGACTGTGGTTGCTTCCGCCCACTTCCAGTGTTTTTTGTACGGACAGCTGCGGCTGACATGAACTTTCTATCAAAATCCTTGTAGCGATTGCTTTGGAGCGTTCTCGGGCTGTCACCTCCATCAGTGCTCTCCTGCTAGTGCTCACCGTTGTACAGCTTGCCTTTTCCTAGTGAAGCTTCAGTGTAAATTGGTTGGGAAGGTATTTTCCACGCAACTTTCTGTCCTTTCAAAGACACGGCTGTGGTGCTGGGTGGAGAAGGGGAGGACTTCTCACCTCGCCTCCCCTCTCAGCGCCGTACGGCTCTTCGGCAGTTGACAGCGTAGCGTAAACCCAAGTGGGAGGGAGCCGGTAACCATTGATACCTTCCCCTTCCCAGGCCAGGGAGTACCAGTAAGGGGGAGCGCAAGGGCAAACGTGGGGAAGGGAAATGGCTTATAACTCAGATTTAACTGGTGGTGGTGTTTGTGTGGTCTTAACGCTGCTACCCTTGGAGAGAATTCAAAAGGTATTTGCTGTTCTCTGCTGCTTTCCTGCAGATGGTAGCAGTCAACTCTTCGAGTCCAACACCAGCCTCAGCAGGGATGTGGGAGGCCCAGGCAATGGGGGATGCTGGAGCCATTGGTGATTCCAGTGCAGAAAGCCTCTACGTTCAAGGTAAACAAGCACAAGGGTAACATCACCCTGGGAGGGTTGTTTATCACTGTGAGTGCAAAAAGAGGGTGTAAATTGACATAGAGCATCAGCAGCTCAATGCAGAGCTCTAATAGGAAGCGCTCTCCCACTCTTGACTTAAACTCGGTCACTTGTTAGTTATAGAAATCCCATCTTCTTCTCCTAAAGAAACATTTCGCTGTTTTCTCAGTGAATAATTTACTTCCAAAATACTGTTCTTTGAGCAACAGGCTCACCTTGTGCGGAGAACAGTATTTTGGAAGTAACGCGGTTGATGTTTTAACCGGTTTGGGGATGTCCTCCTTAACTTCTAATCCAAATTCTTAATCTAAGAAATAGAATACATTTGTTCTTTCTTATCAGCTGGGGAGAGGCTTCCCTCTTCACTGGATTGTCTGAGTGAGCAAAGGCTCATGCTGTATCGCTTTGTTCCTAAGTGGCCTGGGACTGTCACAGCCTGTATTTGGTTGTACTGGCAGGCATGGAGCTGTTTGAGGAGGCCCTGCAGAAGTGGGAGCAGGCGCTGACCATCAGGCAGAGGGACAATGCTAGTACCAGCACCCCCGTGCCCTGGGACAGCAAGAAACGACGAGAGAGCATGTCTGAGAACATCCCAGAGGTAGGTCCCCACTTTTCCCTTGCGTTTGCCAGCTGGGGGAACACGCTGAAAGACCAGCCCTGGTGCTGGAAGCAGTAATTAGGAGGTTAAAAGAAGAGCAAATTAAGGGCAGAGTTGGGCCAGACTCTGTTTAAGAGCTGTCTATATCTGTGGCTTCCTTATGCAATGTGAGTGGGTGTTGTTAATTTCTTTTTCTTTTTAATAAGTCTCGCCCCCTCGTTCCCCAGCTTTTCTACCCACCTTCCAGCATCATGTCAGTCACTGTCATGCAAGTCCTCCAGCAGCAGAGGCTGCGGTAGGAAAAGACTGTAACAAATACAGCACTGGAGAGAAGGAAATAGCTTTTTGCTTGGCAGTGTTGTGTCTGTAACTTTTTAACACATTTGAAAGTGGAGATCTTGATGGTCACTGTCACTTCCTAGGAAGCTGGGTGGAGAAGCAGAGGCTGGCTGCCTGCGTGTATTAATGAGTAAAGTGAAGTGGTAACTCGGTAGAAGCTAAGTATGCCCCTGCTCACTGAGCAAGCGGGTCAGGGGGATGTGTAACTCGTTCTGCCTACGGCTACAGAAACAAGTATTATAGGACAACGCCTTGTTGTCTTGGACTTGAGGACTATGCAGGGAAGACCTCTAACAAGAGGAGATCCAAACTAGAAAGGCTCAGTGACAATCATGAAGCTAAAGAGAGCAGCTGTAGCTCAGGACTGTGAAAAGAGCTAAACTCCCAACTCTCCAGGAGTTCTCGCTGGCAAAAAGTGTTCCCAGCCTCTTATAAACAGGGCCTGGTGTAGTAAGTATGTGGGATATTTGTCTTTTGTGGTGGATAATATTTATCCAAGTCAAATCTAAATTCTCTTGTTGTCTGTCCTTGAAGAGTCCTATAGTACTTCTAAAACTGACTTAAAAACAGTTGATTCATTATCAAAATAGATTTTGTGCTTCTTGTTAATGCTTCTATCTTCTGGGTGAGATACTCACGCAGACACAGGGGCATGAAGGCAAGATGCTGTGTAAGTCTTGCTTGGAGAGTGGCTTTTTTTTTTTTTTCCCCCCCCTCCCCCCCCCCCTCCTCCGGTGCTGCTTACAGCAAACTTTGCTTATGCCCAGCACCTTAATCCAAGGACTCTTACTCTGTTATCCAGTTCTGGATACTCTGTTGTATTCAACACAGGTTTTCTGATGTGATTCCCTCTTGAAATTAGGCTAAAGTGACAAGTCAGGAGAATTAAGTGATCTATAACTCATTAAAATACCTGTTTTTCTGGATGGCACGTTAAAGTTCTAAAGCTTTTTCTTCCTTTTTTAACAGGAAAACAAAATTGTAAAGCTAAAAAGCCAGAGGGTTTGAATAGGCTGTGTAGAAGCTTCCCTCCCCTTGTGTTATTAGCTGCATTGTAGGATTAATGAATCCTCTCTCACTCGTTTTGTTTTGTTTTTCTTAAATCATTTAATCTGCAAACTGTAAATCCCATTTTACTGAAAATTTCCTTCCATATTTGTGCTGTCAATCTGTCTCTGCTCAGTTGGCTAACTAAGGGTGGCATTTATGTATGTTCAAGGAGGAGTCCCAGAAAAGGGAGTTCGCTGAGAAGCTGGAGTCCCTCTTGCACCGAGCCTACCACCTCCAGGAAGAGTTTGGGTCTTCGCTTCAGTCAGACAGCATGCTGCTGGATCTGGGTATGGGAGCTGGGTTAGAAATGCATTAGAAGGCCAGTTTCTTTTCTGATTTTGCATCTTTTCTGTAAGCTAGGCAATGAAGTGGTGACAAAATGCTGTTTGTGGGGGTGGGAGGGAGAGCACAGTGGCTAAGAGGAGTGGTAGTCCATAAACTCCGACACATGCAGCTTCTTCCTCTCCTCCAGAGAAGACTTTAATGCTTCCATTGACGGATGGGTCATTGCGGCTTCGGACAGATGATGAAGACAGCTCAATTTCCGAGGACTCCTTCTTCTCTGCAGCAGAGGTGACTTAAGGTTCAGCTGTGTGTAGCAATCCAGCTGCTTGGAGGGGAGCCACAAAGACAGTGGAGCCAAACACATCTTGGTAGAGGAAGATGATACAACATGGAGCAACAGCCCCAAGCTGGGAGGTTCATGATGGATGTTAGGAAAAGCTGTTTCATTAGGGGCATGGTGCAGGCCTTTCCAACCAGCATTTCCATGTAATCTTCCTATCTACTGTAGAAAACATGCCATAATAGCTAGGAAAGTACTGTAAATCTAATGAAATGTGGCTTGGTTGTGTAAATTTTAGGTGATACTGAGCTGTGTTAGAGCCGAGACAGCTTTGAAACTGTTGGGAAAAGAAATATCTTTGCATGAAATAACTGGCACTGACAAAAGTTTGCTAGCTGAAGAAGGCATACCTTGCTTGGGTGCAGTCTCTGAGTATTTGCAAATATTTAACAAGATCATTTTGTTCTTCCATGCCTCTTGCCACCTCTACAGCTCTTTGACTCTCTCCACTTTGAGGAAATACCATTCCACCTCTCTAAGCCAGTAGCAGCCTATGAAGAAGCTCTGCAGTTAGTGAAAGAAGGGAAAGTTGCGTGCCGGACGCTGAGGTGAAGTGCCAGCTGGAGTTGTGGGTCCTTGTGTCAAGGCTCCTTTGAGCAGCGTGAACACGTTATTTGCCTTTGAGCAGCCCTATAACCAGAATAACGCTTTGGGGACAAAAACTCTTAGCATCCTTCCTGCTGGTTCAGACTTGCTAGGGAACTAGCCCCAGATTTTAGGGGACACATGTTAAGAAAGGGTAATTGTCCCAGGAAATTAATAATGGGAAATAATTAATAATGGGAAATATGACTGTTCTGTGTGGCTGGCTGGCATAGTTCTGTGTGGCTGTGCTGTAATAGCCTTCGCAGAGGTGGTCTGGTCCCCCAGTGACCTGTACAAAGGGAATGCAGTTGTTACTTCCTCGTAGGCACAGATTGGGAATTATTTTTTTTAGGGGAGCATAGTTGTTAGGAACACAGACATTGGGAGAGCTGAAATTTATGCAATCCTTCCCCTTTCCCTCTAGGACAGAGCTCCTTGGCTGCTACAGCGACCAGGATTTCCTCGCGAAGCTGCATTGCGTCAGGCAGGCCTTCCAGGTGAGAACAGCTCGAGGTTCCTGGGTTGCTGCGGTGTGTTGCTGCCAGCAGCACGTTCTCCTCTTCCCATGCAAGGGTGAAGTCTTTGCCCCTCTAGAGCAAGTAAAAGCAGAAGGAGCAGCAGCTCAAGCTCCCCTTGCTTAACTGTAATCCCGTCCTGATCGAAGCGTTTTGGAGAGGGAGAGGATCCCCTGGTCGCTGTGCCCGGCTTGAGCGGTGGTTACATGGCCACTGACACTAGTTTAGTTCTGGGAAGTGTAAGTTTGGTGATTTCAGAGGTGCCCAGGAGCTGCTACTCCCACTTAAGAGCTTTTCACTGGGCTGGAGTCAAACCTCTGAAGTGGGGGAGCAAGGTTTCCTTCTCCTTACTGCGATCCGCATCCTAGCAATGTATGTCTAGAGCCTGAACAGCAGCTTTTGTGCCCTGGCCCTACTGCCACTCTGTGGCTCCCGTGCCTCTGTTCTTGCTGATTCCAGTCTTTCAGCCTAATTTTAAACTCGCTTCCTGGAGAGAGCAGTTTTGTTTTCTAGACTTCAGCTTATTAAATGTTAACGATAGTGGTGTATGCAGCATTGCACTGCTTTGTGTCCTGTCCTTTCTTCTCCCAACTCAGAATTCATGCGGGGGTAGGTGTTCACAGGAGACTTCTTGTGTTCCCTTTGCAGGAGCTGCTGGAGGATGAAAGCAATCAACTGTTTTTTGGGGAGGTTGGGAAGCAAATGGTGATAGGACTGATGACAAAAGCTGAAAAGGTAGGAAGTTTGTATAACAACTCAGCTGTGTCTTGTGAGCACAGGGACACTTGTTCCTCCATCCCAACCCGGAGTTTTTCCAGTGTCTTGGAAGGAGAAAACTTCATCTGTATGCTGGTGACTATTGCAAGAAATAAAATGCCCGTGCTTTTAATCTTGTTTAACCAAATTCTCTTGAAAGAACCTCTCTGTGCAGCTCTTGTCCACGGTTTGATACTGTGTCTCACTGGAGCAAACAGAGGGTACAGGCTGTGCATCAGCAATGGCATCATCTCAAGGAATATAGGAAAGGGAAAAGAGAATCAACCACATACCAGCTCTCAGATCACTGGCTTAGTCACTGGTTATCCCCTAAACAGGGAGATCGTCGCTTGCACAGCGTTAGTCCCTTACTGGCTTGGTTTGCTTACAGGTGTCTCTAGCTACTTCCTTGAAGAAAGTGGAGCAACGTAGGTGCTTTGAGTCACAGCTGAACCTGGGGCAATCCATGCCTCCCAGAAACAAAGTCTCTCTGCACAAAGCGTGTTTTGGCAAAGAACTTCAGCCAGTCGCATGCATTGATGTTGATGTTAGCTCAAAATAGAGTAGTCAAACTTTGGTGAAATGTGCCCGCAACTGTTGTACCTTCTGAAGTGTTTTGTTTCTCTGCTCTCCCAGAATCCCAAAGCTTTTCTGGAAAGCTACGAGGAGATGCTGCAGTATGCACTGAAGCAAGAGACCTGGCCGACCACTCAGCAGGAGCTGGAGGGAAGAGGGGTTGGTAAAGACGTTCTCTCTAGAAAGTTGCAGAGGAGTTGGAGGATAATGAATATGTAGGAACAGCCCAGGAGTGAAAGAACTGCTGCTGAAATACGATTATTTTGCAATCGTACGTTGTTGGGGAGGCTGGGGGGGAAAACGGGCTGTTGGGGTGTTTAAACTTCATGGCAAACCTTGCCTTCAGCAATGTCAGCAATACTGTGGTTAAAAAAGCCAAACCCAAAACCCCAGCTCAAAATCCCAACTTTTTCTAGAGGGCACAAGCTACTGTCCGTAGGTCTGTAAGATTTGTTTGCCTTTTGACCGGGCTTTTCCTGGACACAGGATTAATAAGTCTCTTGGCCAGGCCCTCTCTGGGGGCTGTGAACTGAGTGTACACACTGAGCGTACAGTCCTCCTGCCTTGGTGGCAAACTTCATCTCATTACGTTTTGTTGCTTCAAAGCAAAAGAGTAAAGTCTATCTCCTTTTTTTAAACCTGTTTCCTTTACTGACTGTTCTGCTCTCTGACAGGTGGTGTGCATGAGTTTCTTTGATATCGTGCTGGACTTCATCCTCATGGATGCTTTTGAGGATCTGGAGAACCCTCCCTCCTCTGTGCTGGCTGTGCTGCGCAACCGATGGCTCTCCGACAGCTTCAAGGAGACAGTACGTTAAATGCTTAATCTTTGTGCTGAGCATGAGATCTCAGTGCCAAGGCTAGGAAAGAGTATAAACTCTGCTGTCCTGGCTGAGCTGAATTTTCTGTTTAGAAATACCATGCTTTCCTGAAGCTCTAAGCAACAATCTTCTGGCACATGTAAATTGTTTACAGGAAAGCTTTCCTTAATTTGAAAGCATCTGGTTGGCTCCAATAGACTTATTTCTCTAGCAGCATTTATCAGTGATGCCATGGAGATGTTAAAAGATGACAACGCATATTTTCATGAATGAGGATAAGAGGATCAAAATGTAGGGAAAAACAAGTGTGGGTTTTTGCACCTGGCCATTCATTCTGGTGGTACCTCCGCAGACACTGAGGCTCAAATAGCAGCGCTTTCCTCTAGTCCTGGCCCCCAGCTGCATATTTAAGACTGATTAGTTTCATAGACTGAGAAGAAGATGGTTGGGAGGCACCTTTTAACAGCTGTCTGCCTACAGTCTGCATTCTGGGGTGTTTGGCAGCTGTGTCAGATCATATTAGCGATCTTCAAAAACACTTTGGCTTTTCTGGAATGGATCTGGAGTGGCTAAATCTGCTTCCAGTTCACTTCGATTTTGTCACTAATTTTAGAGTTGTTGGTGCAAAAGGGCCACTGCTTTGATACTTTGATGGCAATGTGTTGGTAAACCTTTTTTTGGTTTGTTTTTGGTTTTTTTTGAAAAGTAATTCCAGTAACTGATGGTCTCTCTCCGTTCATTGTAGGCTCTAGCAACTGCCTGCTGGTCAGTCCTGAAAGCAAAAAGGAGGCTTCTGATGGTAAGCAAAATTAACTAAAAGGGAAAGAATCTAATGTGTTTGAAGCTGAAAAGACAACACCTAGATCTTGACAAAATACAAAATCTGGTATAAGACTGAACTGAATCATGTTCTTTGTGATGCTTTAGAGCACTGGCGTCCTGCCGTCATTGCTCCAGTGCCATGCCAGTGTCTTGCTGAATCAGTCTGAGTTTATTCTCCCTTTTTCTTAATGTGAGGATTAAAAAGACATCATTGCCTGTCTGGTATTCCCTCTCCCCGCTCACAGTACCGTAGGAATGGTCACAGACACCAAGCAACAAGGGGCTGCCCCTGAATTGTAGTTCCCCTGCTGGCAGCGCAACGAATGGCTTATGCGCTTCTCCGCTTCCCAGCGCTGATTGCTGACTGGCTATTACTTGATGCGTTTCCCTTAAATCTGTGGCTTTCTAAAGTATCACAGAGTCCATGAGTTCATGGACCTGGGGAACAGGAAGCCGCAACTTCACAACCCCAGTTCTGCCACAGGGTCTGTGGCCTCTGGCAAGTTTTCAGCTCCTGTCCCACAACCAGCTGGTACGAGATGGTACAAAGAGAAATGAGAGCGTTGGAAGGCGTATTGGTGCTGTCATGTAGTAGCTCTGGCTTGGATATTTGCATGCCCTTTCCTGGCTTGGTCTGGAGATTATAAATAGAGTCTATGAAGACTGCCTGATGGTTGCCTTTCATTTTCTTCTATTTATTTTCCTCCTGAAATAGTAGTTTAGAAACATGAAGATAGAAAGCTCTAGTCATCCTTCAAGGGATCTGAAAGATAAATGTAATTCTGCAGGAAGAGATGTTCTTAAGTAGCTTTTAACTTCAGTTACTGAAGCACGGTGCTTTCTGGCATGGAATTTGATATGGAATAAGCTGGTAATTCTGTCCGAGAACCGAGACTGACCAATTCTTCCCTTCCCTGTGTCAGGTACCAGATGGCTTTATCTCTCATTTCTACTCCGTATCGGAGCATGTCAGTCCTGTTCTAGCCTTTGGTTTTCTGGGGCCCAAGCAGCAGCTATCTGAAGTCTGCAGTTTCTTCAAGGTAAGATGGCTTCTCTGTACCAAATCTGTGTGGGACTAATGCTGTCTTCAGGCTTAAAGCTGCAGATGTGTGCTTTTGATGACTGACGTGGCATTAAGAAACTTGTCTATGTACAAAAGCCTTCTAAAAATCACTGTTTTTTGAGATGCAGATTGCTGAATTCAGATTGATAAGAATTCCCATCACAGTTTACCATAGCTGATAGCAAAAATGTGTGATGAGATCAATTTATACCATCAGTATTGGAAAAGGTTACGGGCGCATATGCTGAGAGAATATGTTGTCTAAGAGTACATGGGATCTTACAAGTTATGTATTTGATCTTGAAGCCTAAATCCTCTTGTTCTCGTAGATAATATCATGAGAGGCTGTGTTGCATTCATGAAATGTTTGCATGGATATTGCCATGGACATCAGCATTGCTTTCCTGACTTCATGAGCTTTGCTGTCCCGTTCTAGAGGCATGAGGGGATTTAGCCACAAAAGTAATACCCAGCCTGAAGCAGATCTTCGCTCAGATGGCAGATGTGCAAAATTCCTTGTGGGGTTCTCTGCTTGCTGCAGCCCAGGCAGCTGGTGTTTGCAGGTGGGAGGAAGTCTCTTTACTGTAAACCTTCCTTTTGTCTTTGCAGCACCAGATAGTACAATATCTGAAGGACATGTTTGATTTGGACAATGTGAGATACACAACAGTGCAGTCACTGGCAGAAGACATTTTGCAGCTGTCGCGGCGGCGCAGTGAGATCCTCTTGGGATACCTGGGCACCGAGACTTCCCCTGAGATGAACGGCACGCTTCCTCATGAAAATGAGCCGCTGAAGGAGCTCATCTGACGTCAGTCAGGGGAGGAAAACAGTTTTGTACAAGGACCTTTTTCCTCCCAGCGATGGATAAAACTACCTGCAATGCTCAGTGGTGGCAGCAAGACTATTTCAACACACAGCAACCTGGTGGGACCTTCTGCTTTTTGTAGCCAGTAGTGTTTGCTGGGATGGATCCAGGACCACTTGCCAGCTTATGGTTTGAATTTCTTCTTTGTTCCACCTTCCTGTTTATTATTATTATTGTTTTTAATGTGTCATACAAATCACGAACTGCCTGGGCCCAGATTTTTGCCCAATTCTCTTGAATAGGGCAATATATGTACCCGTTTTGCCTGTGCATTTTCTGGGAGATGATCCCTGACGTTTACGATTGTCTGTGGGAGCAGGAACATCACTGGTAAATTCTCCACTTGACCCTTAGCTTCTTAAGGAGGCTTTGTTTGCTTTGGGATTTTTATTATCGTTCTTTCTCTGCTGTGTTTCTACAGACATTACTGCTGATTTTTACCTTACGTGTTTTAACACATGCAATGTGACTAGCAAAGATTTCTTTCCCAGGGAGGAAGAAATACTTCTGTAAAGCACTGAAGTAAAATGCAGACTTCTGTAACCAGTCTGAAGCTCTAAGGAAGTTGGTCTGTTGCCTCTGTGTTGCTGCTGTTTGCAGGCCAGATGACGGGCTCTGTGGGGCGGTCATCCTCGCTTAGGAGATTGCTGAGGCCTTGTTTGCCCCTAAGGCAAGCTAGTGTGAGGAAGGGGTGGATTTGCATCCTGCCTGTGCATGCACAAAGTCTTTAACATCCATCAGAGTGCCTTGCTGTATTTCAGAATGAGCCAGCAGCAGTTTTCGCTGGGTAGGAGGTGTGGGGTGTACACAAGCAGAGGGAACCGGTATGGTGTGGTGCCTATTCCCATTATGCACAAGGCAGTAAGAGGTGTAGACGTTGGATGTGATGTACAAAAGGGGTTATGTGTGCAGGTAGCTGGAGAGCTGGGATCAAGCTGCTAGAGAGGAAACGACTCTTTGTAGTCTGTCAATCCGAAGAAACGTAGCGTAGTTTTGGGCATAGATCAAATGCATGTGCATGTATGACCTTGTAGCGCTGGGAAGGGCTCTTATCGAATGATGTGATCCTGACTGCACAGCCAGCACCTGAAATCCGGCTGCTTTGGGACACATGCTGAGTTGGATACTAGTGTAGGGTGGTGGCAGTGGAGTGTGCTGAACTCGAGGCGGTCCTGGCTTTTGTGTGAGGTTTGCAGCGGTTTGCCGAGTCCTCTGTGAGTGCAATGCCACAGATGAAGGTTGAGGGTCCAGCCTGTGCTTTCTCCTGTTGCAGGCCACATACATCTCCAAGTCCCAGCCTCAGAATGAGGAGGTCTTCAGGGAGAAGAAAATGAGTACTTTCACAAAAACATGGGCTTGACTGATTAGTTATCCCTTGTGTCTGTTCCAGGTAAAAGGCGTAAGTCTTATCTAGCCATATTTTTGCAAGGGGAAAAAAAAAAAAGTAAGAATCTGGAGTTTCCATATGAGTGGAAAGTCAGTGCATGGGCTTGGAGAATACAAATGTCTTCTTTCTTCCTCTTCAGATATCTAACGTGGACTCTGCTGGTAAAAGCAGGAAGGAAGTAAGCAGGGAAAAAGTAAACAGGAGGATGTAAGAGGAGTAGATAAATGCTCCTGAGATGCTTGCAAGAGGGTAAGGGTAGAGCACTTAAATCCCCATCAGTGGATTAACTTAACATCTGTTGCTCTATAAGCACATCAAACTGATGTGGCTTATCCTGAAGACCAGATTAATACAATAAACAAGAGAGTGCTGAGGCAAAAGTGAGGAGCAGCTGACCCAAGTGAGGCTGCATGAAATAAACTGTTATGAGAAGGATTTAAGAGACAGCAATTGAAACTAGGAAAGGTCTCTGAGGTGTCTTGGTCCTGGCAGCATGCAGTGAGAGAGGAAACAGAGGATGTTGTATTAGCACGACACACCTGCTATATGTAAACTGTGATTCAAAAGTATGTTATATTCTGAAAGCAAGTTACTTTGCCAAAAAGAAATGTTTATAGTGCTTTGTGCTTTTGTGTGGCTGGTTTAGAAGAAAGAGTAACTTCAGCAGCTTTGTATAGTGGTTAAAAAGATGCTAAAATGTGAAGATTAATGTAATAAGATGGATTGTAATTCTAAACAATCAATGCTGTTAATTTCTCATTTTTAGAGTTGTTTTATGTGTATTTATTTACTACTTTGAGTGTCTTTTGGCCTCAGTGCTTGGGGCAGCCTGCCTGCTTTGTATACAGACAGGAACACTGGCCGCTGACTTTGGTCTTTTTGCATCCTTGCGGGAGAGGATGCTGAAACAGGGTCCCCATGAAGCGAACACTAACTTGCACTGCGGCTTTTTAAGCTAAGAAATTGTGAATTCCTGATCAATCAAATGGAAGAAAGAGTTTTATTACAGCTTTATGCTTTTCCTTAGCCCTTATTGCAAATAGGGTATGCTGCCCTCCCAGTGAAGGTAAAGAGGGATCTTCCTCGAGAGCATCCACAGCTTCTTGAAGGTTGAGTTCTCCCCCTCCACCTGCCAACACTTAACTGGCTCCTGCACAAGCCAAGGATGTCTGCTGAGACAAGCTGTTTTTCTCTTTACTGGGGAGGATGTTAAACTTCTCTACTCGCGCCCCCCCCCCTGCTGCCGCTATTTCATTGCTGCTCTTTCTCCCTCCCCAATCCTAGTGTAGCTTGAGAGGAAAGGCAGAAGAAAGGTGTTTGCAGCCTCCGAAGGGTTCTGTTCAGAGGAGCTGTTCCTGTGGAAGAAGCTCTCCCTGACCTGAGGGTTGGTGGCCAGTGACCTGCTGCATTCAGCTCCTTTGGCTGCAACCCCGAGCGGGGGCTCAGGCTGCTCCCACCATCCAGAGCAGGGCTTGGCTGAAATGGCAGCCACCTCCATACCCATCTGTTTTGCAGAGTAGAGTAAAAGGTTATGACAGAACAACTGCCTGCCCTCTGGCTTCATAAGAGATCACTAGAAAATCCTTCTTTCCCCAGCATATTGTGTTTAGCAAAGGAAATTCTTCAGTATTAGTAGCAGATGAGATACGTATTTGGGTAGAATCTCTAGAGATAAGATATTTGCCTTTTTTATAATGAACCCTTATTCTCAAGGGGTTAAATCATTCTGGGCTGACACTTGCAAGATTTTAACACTGATGGGGATTTAAAGTGGCTTAGCAGCTATGAAATAAAATCCTTCAATAGTTTCTGATGCTTAAACAGAATTTCAAATATGCATGACTTTCAGTTTTTATGTGGAGGTTGTAACAAGCTTCACCAGTGGTTAAAGTACGTACTCAGTACTTTAGTATGTATGTAGAGAGTACACCAAATGGCTGTAGGAGGGTCTTTATGATCTTTAAAGCACAAATACACTAATAAAAAAAAGAAGAAGAAAAATCTGCCTTGTTGTATCTACGAGATCAGTGTGGCTTTGAAGAGCATGACTTGTGCTGTCTCATACAAAAAGGTGGGAAAGCAGGATTTTATTTACTCCTCTTCATTAGAACATTCTTCTGCCATATCTGAAACTAATGAATGTAAACTTTTGCCTATTTTTTCTTGATTTCCTAAAGGTGTAAAAATCTGTTTTTGTTTTGCTTCTTTCTTTTTCCTTGCAGCTAATTTTTTTTTTTAATACCTTTAATCTTAGGATGTGGGCATTACAAGTCAAATAAAACTTTCCTTCGTGACTGTGGTTTTTGTTTCTAAATTTCCTGGCCAAACTTGCTAGAAATGCAAGTCTTTTGTTTCTGATTTAGGTGACGGTTGTGGTGACACCTCTGGTGCTAGACTGATGGTATAAAACAAGGCTTGCTCTTCCTAGAGTTAAAATGCTAAACTTAACAGCAGATAAACTTAAGGGTTTTGTTTGCATGGGGGGAGTCTTCCTGGTTCTAGTGAAGACAAGTCCGTGACTAAGCAGGGTATAAAATAAACAAGACAGCTCATTGTACCTTGAGCAGCGGTTGAAAACTGTGGGGTTTCATTTTTTCAGATTTTTCTTTTTCCGTGGTGGTTTGATTGTGTTTGGGTGTGGTGTGGGTAGGCTAGCAGACTGTGATAAAGTGATAACAGAAATCCCAGTAAGGAGCAGAATCTCTTAAACACTGTTCAAGTTCTTGTAGCATACTTATCAGCCTCCCAGACTAGGTGAAAGAAACCCGGAGTAAAGGCTGTGGGTTGATATCAGAGATGCCCATCTGCTGAGCAATGCAGGGAACTCATCTCATTTTTCTGAAGCAATTACAGTATGTTTAAATACTTTCGTTTTCAAATGATACAGAAACCAGATTGAATCAGATAGGCTGTTTGCTTCCATAGTGATTAAGATTTCATCCATACGCTTAAAAATAAAAAATTAAGCCTCGGTTAGCATTAATGCAAGCCTGTCACGAACTATGATATATGCAAATAAAATGTTCATGAATAGGAAAATTTTTGTCTCGTGCCACACCCTGAAGGTTAGTTGAAAGAGTTAAAAGGAGTTTATCTTCGTTTCCATGGTGTCAGACTGTATGCTCATTACATCTCCAGAGCAGCTTTGTGCTTTCTTATGCTGAAGGAACAGAGCAAAGGCTGCTCTGTGTATTGACACTTTCTTCTTATGTTCAGGAAGGAGTGGGTGTATATAGCAATGAAGCCCACAATTTTCAGTACTTGTCATGGTACATAGATCAAATGTAATCCACTCCGCCAGCATAACTCTATATTCAATAGCTTGGAAAGGAGGAGATTTATTTAACTTGAATAATGAAAGCAGTAAATCACTCATGCTACCTTGTAGCAGTTTTCTGCAATGAACTGAACTTCTGCAGTAAATACTTGCTCTTTCTTTCCAAATAAGAAGACTTTAATGCTATTTTTCTGCTTGCAATGCCAGGAAAAGTATCAGCTTTGAAGAGGCTGTTGAAATTAATTGGCCACAGTCATAATTGCTATCTGAAAACACGTGTATTGCAACTGCAGGAAAAAGGAGTGTTCTCCCTGTTCTGAAACCTTACTTTACGGTGAATGTGTTAAGGGGCAGAAATCCTAGTCCATGTGCTTTCCTGACATATAAAAATTAAAGGCAACCCCTTGCCTATGTTTATCACTTCTCACACTGCTCTTGCGTATTTATTTTTCTGTAAGTTTTATCTTTTAAAATTGAATTAACTTTGGTGGTTTGGTCTGAAGGTGTATTTGCCTTCTGCAAGCTTTTCTGTGCAATGCTGCTCATTTATCTCACTTTTGAAGTGCTGTACTGTTTGTGTTCTGCTTTTTCCTCAGGCTCCCCAGGTAAGTGTTATTCTCTGGGCTCACATATGGGAACGTTCATTTTGGTTTGGTCTTCAAAGTGGGTGATTTCAGTAAAGGCATTTGGGGAGGGGGGGGAAAAAAGGTATTATTTTGACCAGGTGTTGCCTGACCTTTGCAGTACCTTTTAAAGGACGTGCGGAGTATCAGCAGCAGCATCCCGATTTCTCTTGAGATTCTGCAAGGACTTTATTTCATGCTTTATTTTCATGTGTGCATGTTCACACAGGAGTTGCTGGTCCTTTACAGAGCTATAAAGGAGATGTGGCTATAAAAATCCATCCTCTTCCTAGTGTTATTTAAAAAAAAAAAAGCGCAAAAAAAAAAAGGCATTTTCAACATTCAACAGAGCTTAGGTCATGTCACTTAATCACTCCTGTGCAGGGGCAAATAGAAATGCTAGTGAAATAATCCTGTTATGTAGTAGGCTCTGTAGTAATACCATTTATAAAATGAAAGATTCCCTTTTAAAAACACATCTTTTCACCCTTGAAAGAGGTGACAGGAGAGAAGGCTGGTTTGGTTTTTAGTCACTGACAGCGGGGCCAGAGGGGGAAGCGGCTCCTCAGCGTGCCAGCCCCAAACTTGCCCTCTCCAGGCCCCGGACCCATCCCATGGCGGCAGGGAACACAAGCGC